AAGTACTTCAGATGTAAGAACTGAAGTTTCAGATGTGTGATCCGAACCTCGACAGCTAGACCTACAGTGTTCAGATGCCCAATCCGAAACTTCAGAGATCAATATGACCTAGACTTCGGGTCCCACGCACGAAGTTTTTTTCTCCGTATAATGTAGGACAGTTTGATCTTGTGACCAACACAATAGAGACCTCAACTTCTCTGATTAGTATATAAATACTGCCGGAAAATTTAATCAACAGGCGAGACAATTGCATGGTTCCGTTAATTCATGGTAATAAAATTCTCGGCGGTAGTTCCAGTCGAGGATCATCGTCGCTTCGTGTTTTTATCAGCGCCGCCATCGCCAGTCTCCTCGCCACACAGTGCGGCATCCTTATGGACGATGCGGACGAAAATCGGTAAAAGACACTCAACTTTCAATTATGAAGATAGTAGCAGCGACATAGGAAAACCCTTTGGTTTTCATTAAAGTAAAGCACTCGAGGAATAAGAAAATGTTATATCTCGAGTTTTTTTGCGGATTTTTCGAGAATAGTTCATTTAAGGTCGGCAACCTCGAATGAGCCCTATGTTAACAATGTGAAAGCAAACGCGAAACACCCAAACTTTAATTCAAATATCTCTGATAGTCGCGAAAAGTCGCAAGATCTTTTTGGTAGAATTGAAGTCGGATGTCTGAAAATGAAGAAAATGTCAACCACCCAGAGCATTTGGCGTTTCAAGCGAGAAATCTCTGTTTGAAGTTGACGTCCTTTTCCCGTGTATTTCTTATGGACCCATTCTCGACCATTTCCCGCCCACTTTCTACCCAAATTTGAAGTAATTTGGAGCGAAAAATCTGGAAATGAACCATCAGCGTGAGTCAGTTATATCTTTATGATGACAAACTCCAAAAAAAATATTCAGATGTCGATAGTTGTGAGTTTTTGATTTTTGTCCACAGAGGGCGCACTGTGCGCCAGTCTCATCGTAGTTTCATGCCAAATAACCGCAAAAGTCTCATGGAAACCCTATCTTTATTCGCGGTTAAGTATTGTGATGTGGTCAGATAGTGCGGTCAAATTTACAATTGCGTGGAGAATTGTGAACCGCGTTTTTCGCATAATGATACTTGCTTAAAATCCACGTGGCTTTTTGGCAATATAATCCATGTCCAAACTTTAAAAAACGTGTCACTCGATGGCGAAACGTGAATGATCAACTATCGATATTTCTCCATTTGAAGCTACGGTAAAGAATCGATTAAATAGCAGTGGCGTGGCGTGCTTTGCGATTTATCGATTGTTATGCCATTTAAACCTATGGAAAAGGATCGATAAACAGGGTGTTCGCAGCGAACACCTTAATAATCGATTCTTTATCATAGGTTTAAATGGCAAAACAATCGATACATCGCAATTCACGCCACGCCACTGTTAAATAGGTTTTCGTTGCGAACACCCTGTTCATCGATCCTTTTCCATATATTTAGATGGAATCGATTTACCTCAAACCACCCTGAATATAATTTTTTTTTGGGGGGGGGGGGGGGGGGGAAGAAAACGTTTTTTTGGCCGTCCACGAGAAAGGAAGGCTCCATTGTTCACGGAGGCAAAATTTTCATTTTTTTAGTTTTTCGTACATTTTTTTTAAAGGAATATTCGCAGAAAATCCGATTAAGAGCTTTTTACAGATAAAATTGGGTGTGTTCCTACAGTTTAAAAAAAAATGCGGGGAATTAGGTTCTCACCGAAAAGTGGACAGTTTCATAATGATCAAGAAATTCCATGCTTCGAGCAAGACGGATTAAAATTTTAAATAGCCTTTTCCCAAAATCAGTTTTTTATGACTCAAACCCCATACAGTCATAACTACAATCCGGTTCGATAACTTCCTTCTCCTCATCTTGAATTTGTCTTAGAACACTTCTTTACACTCTAACATCAATAAATCGATCTTCAATTCATTTGAACTACAATCCCTTTTCCCTCATACCGCAACATTTCGTCAATCCTCTGACATAAGGGCGTATTTTCATTTCCACGTGAGCCGCGTTGTCCGTATAAAGCAATGCTTTTCGGGGCTCATGTGGAGATATAGGTACGATTTACGTCAGAGGAGCTACGTTTTGAGTAATCATAATCAGCTCCTGGTTTTCCTTCACATTTTAAAAAGTTCTAGGTAGCTTAAAGCCCAGTTTTAAGCAACGTCAAATATAGATATTCTTCCTAATGCCTAAGTTCAATCCTGATTCTCACTCAAAGTCATTGGTGGATCCAGCATACTGGCGACATCATCTCTCCTCCATTTAAATCTATAGAAATGTATCGATTCTTCCAGGTGTCAGGTGCTCCGACAAGAATCGATTATTTAGCATAGGTTCAAACGGAGAAAACCCGGCGTTGCCAAATTGATGAGCCTCTGCTCAAAGCTGATGATTTTAATTTTCTCATTCCAGAATTACCCGTTCAGATTGATACGATACATTCGCCAGGCTGCGTTCCAAGGCCATGCGGATAAATAAGAAAAATAAGGTAATTGCGAATTGCTTCAGGACCGACGCATTTGTCTTAACTTTGTTGTAAAACATTGTAGTTAGGCGTTAGCAAGTATGAAATATTTGATCACCTCAGATCGGCCACTGCTTGATTAGTTGGCAACGTGGATGAATAATTAATGAGCTTTTTATAAATTTACACCTAGCAGATGATCTCATGGTTGTCTGTTCGGTTCGGAAAAGAGCCAAACGTAGAACCGGTATGTGGTGCCTATAATATTAAAATTCATCTATGAAGTTGTTTCCTTTCAAAAAAGCTTCATCGATTCATAATCGCCATAGAATTTTGTTCAAAAAGCTCGTGATATAGATCACTTTAGTTTACTCTCTTTCCGGATGAAAAAAAAAAAAAAAAAAAAAAAAAAAAAAAAAAAAACCTTCTACAGACTTGTTATCCCTCTGATATTAAGAATTTTAAAACTTTAATTTTCATAAGGGTTTCTGAAAAAGAGGAGAAACTTTGTAGAGACTTTAAGAAGAGACTTTATGGCCTGAAAGTCATACAGAATGTTCTCCTGACGGAAGGAAAATCAAGTGAGTTTTCGAGAAATTACGTTTACTATTAGGTACTCTGAAGTAAAATTAAAGAATGGCAGGTAGTCTGCACCGTCGCGAATGGAAATACGTGGTTTCGCACTTTGGTCATCGATGTATGTAGCTATACTCTGCGAATTGTTTTTTTTTAACCGATGTATTTTGTTTTGTGTTTTTTTAACTGTCCGCACCACCAATAGATGGTCGCTAGCGGCCGTGTACTGCCGTGCTAAGGAAAAACGCCGTATGAGCATTCGAAAGTTGCCAAATTTTATCTTAGAAAATATTTATTTTTGAAGAAAACTATGAATATTTTCCCGTGAAATTTTCAGACTGTTCAGATCAAACCAAGAACAAAATTCCCCGAAAAAATCGGAATAAAATATTAAAAAAATTTCCCGAAAATTCATGGTTTGTCGAAGGAAATTTGACAACGCCTGATGGCTCATACGGCGTTCTTCCTCAGCGCGGCAGTATATCGTTACCTTCCAGGCAAAGTATCACAAGCGCCATGCGACGTTTAAAAATTTCCGCCGCCATTTTATTTTTTACAGAGAAATTGTTCGACGAAGCTGTCCGAAAATTTCACTGAATTTTTTTTGTGCTGCCGATAAAATTTGGTGAAATTTCAAAAAAAGATTTAACCAACAACTTCTCAGTAAAGAAATAAAATGGCGGCGGCAATTTTTAAACGTCGCTTGGCGCTTGTGATATTTTGCCTGGAAGGTGACGATATCACTCTTGTTCACTCCTCCTCACAACAAAAAAGCCTTTTACAGACTATTCTTTGTCTTCGATTATGAAAATTCCAAACATACTCTCACCAAATTGGCAACATGAGCATAGTTACTTTACGGCAGAACAAGATCTCTCGCGCAACAGTAGCTCATTAATTTTTTGACTAAAAAAATAAAAAATGATGATGTTTAAAACGCCGCTTGCGCCTTCGGGACATCTTCCCAGCGGTTTCCGCTTCTTGTCCGCGTTGCCCCTCAGTTCGTTTTCCCGCCGCCGCGTTATCCACGGATTCGGACGAGTCGATTCTTTCGTTAACGCCATGACGCGAACGCGAACAACGCTCATTTTTTCAGTGCTGGTAATGTTTGTGTTCCAAGGATGTGGATCTGCAAAAATAAACCACGGAAACTGTCCAAGCTCGAGTAAGTTCCCTAAATTAGTCACGTGTAGGGATTTAAGTGGGAATTTTCCCGGGAAAGCTCCTGGAGATCTATGGCTTAAATCTACTTTCCTGGGAGTCTTTGATGGTTGGATACCCGCCCATGGGAAAGCACATCAACTTTAAATAATCACCGCAGGAACTTTTCCGATGATTCGTGCGAAACACGACGAACTTCGTGCGAAAAAATCATAAGAGGATGCTTTAAAATACTAAGTGAAATTTTAATGGAGAAATATGTAATACAGGAGGCGATGAACTTATTAAAAGTACCATTTTTTTAAAAGAAGAAAACTTACAAAACGCAAGAGATGAATGAGCAAGGAAAACAATAAGCAAAAACTAAAACACAAAATATCTTAGAACGTCCTACCACTTTGCAGACAGATGCATACAGCCATAAACTTATTGAAAAATATTTTTCATTGCATATTTTTCTGTGTGCATTGGAAATTGCCTACCTCTCTGATACGCGGGGCTCATCTTTTCGATCGTTTAAAATCTGCATTTTTAGACTAAATGATGTAAAAATATTACAATTCCATAGTGAAAAAATTGCGACTTCATTGCAACTCGCAATTCAATACTTTCATGCTGCCATGGTAAGGGAAAACGTCGTATGCACATTCGAGAGTTTCCAAATCGTTAATTGTGAGGAAACTTATGAATATTTTCCCTTGAAAATTTCAGACTATTTAGATGAAATCAGGATCAAAATTCCCTGAAAAATTTTAAAAAAAGTACTCACAAATTTTCCTGAAAATTCGTGATTTGTCACGACGATGTTTGAAGGCTCATACGGCGTTTCTCCTTGGCAAGGCAGCATGATGCATGGCGCTGTGCTACTTGGGATTTCAACGATGGCGCCATCTTAATTAAGTGTTCCGTTGTTTCCATTAGGCTCAGGCAACTCTCTGCACCATAGAGCAATTCGTCTGTCAGGCCTGCTTCGATGAGATTCTGCTCTGACAATCCATCTGAAAGGGCTGGAAGCTCGCGCAGTCGATCGTCCATTGTCAATTTCGGATGCAGGGCTCAGGGTCCCATCAAATTCGTCGGTTCGATAATCCCGTAAATTTTGATACGCACGGTTTTTCGCCTTCCTAATATAGTACCACTTGAAGTCCTCGTCGAAGCACCAAGACAGTTTTCTGTGAGAACCGAAGCCGTGAGTTGGTGGCAATTGCACTGAGCATCTGTGTGTCTCATTCGATGTATCTCTCTCGCAACCGAAGTATTCAGCACCCTTGCAACTAGTCTTCTGCCCTTCTATTTCGTACTTACGAAATTGCAAATAACGATTGACAAGCTTTTTGCACAAAGCGTCCGCTCTTTCTCTTTTGGGCCCGTCATCTCCTTCTCTGATCCCCAGGCAAGGGTCGGTATGTTCCAAATGATAAAGATCATCATCCAAAATTATCCAAGCGTCTGTTATCTGAAACAAAGATTTTAAAATTCATCCCTGGTAAAAATTGGTGATAGGAGCTGCGTTTCAAAATACCATAGGAATTCTTATAGCCGACTGAAGAAGGCGATAGAAAATCATATAGCTGGCTGTAGAAAGTGGAAAAAATCATACGGCCGGGCTACACGAAGCGATAAAAAATTCTACGGCTGGGCTATAGCTCTTATATCGCCGGGCTTTACACTTTATCACCTGGCTGTTGCTTTTTCGCCATCGGCTATAAATGGCTATAAGAAATTGTGTAGAAATTCGTGTGCTTTGTAAATCCTTCGGTTTGTACGGAATCACCTTAATATTTAAAAAACGCACATTATATTTTCCTTTACTTACTGCATCTTTTTTTCATCAATTAAAATGAGAATAATCCATGCAGAGTGTGCAAACATTTCAAAGTCAAGAGTTGAAAAACGCTGACTCCACGAGATTAAATATTAGAGCCTAACACAAAGCGGAGCGGCGGCGCACTGGCGCCTACAAACCTATCAGGGATACTTCACGCATTGCGCAATGCGTGAAGTATCCCTGTTAGGTTTTTAGGCGCCAATGCGCGTTTTGCGCTCTCTGCCCGCCCGCTGCGCCGCAGCGTGCCACGGCGTCTGAAGCAACTATTTCACACCAGAGGTATTGCACAGTATCGTACGAAATTGAAGGCGCTCCAACATGGGTATTAGGAATGGCGAGCATCCTTCAAAAGCACGGAGCTTTCCTCGCAAAATAAATCAAGATACTACGGCCCAAAAAGAGAGCGGTAGTCCAAAAACTCACCAAGTCCTAGCATCCGTAATTATAGTATAACGTTTAGCATACACTTTATCGCCAGGCTGTTGCTTAATCGCAATCGGCTATAATAGGCTATAAGAAATTGTGTTGCCGGCTATAGGATCTATTGGAAATCTTACAGCCGGCTGTAGGTCTATGGTATTTTGGAACACAGATTCTACTGCCAATTTTTACCAGGGATGTCCTGAAACTAGCGAATGGGGCTATTGCATGTGTCAGGAATTAGCGATTTAGCTACTGATTTCTAAGTAACATTTTGCGAAAAATACGATAGTGCCACTAGTTTTCTCTGAAATCGACTTCAACGCGTAAAAAAGATCTTCCAAGTTGAGGTCCTAAAAGAGGAGATATCCCCCGCTACCCCGAGAGTCCACCTCAATGCCGAGGCAAAGATAGGAAGCGAATACATTAACAGAAGTTGCCACTTTGTTGGAGGATTCCAATACTGAAAACACGGCAACCCTGCTAATGTATTTGCTCCCTATCTTTGCATAAAGAGATAGTCTTCATATAGACGTGGACTCTGAGTGTAGCACGAGACATGCCCTCCAATTGAGCTTCAACTTTGAGAACTTTTTTTGAGCTTTGGATTTTGTTACAGAGAAAACCAGTGGCACCATGGTATTTGTCGCGAAATTTTTCCGAAGAATCAGTGCTTAAATCGCAAATTCCTGACACACGCAAGATCACCATTCAGATCGGGCAATGATTAAAATAGACTTTTTGCACGGCCCAGCCAATCTGCAGCCGGATTGTTGAAATTTTAACTGGCTATGTCGGCAAGATAAGACAAGACGTATTATCTTTATCTGCGCTGCGTAATGTATCGGTTTTTGATTCTTGTCGTGCCGACATTTTCAACAATGAGGCTGCTGTTTGGTTGAGCCTAGAATTTCAGCCGAAAAGCATCCCATCTCTATTAAAAAAATGTAATCCACCTTTTACGACCATGCAAGTTCTTCTTAAAATCTCCCATCGTAAATTAACTTTATATCGCTGGCCGGAGTGCGGAACCACGTAGGTATCTGAATTTGCGATGTTGCAGACTTCCTAATTTATAGACATCGCGCAGGAGATAAGCGTGGTGTTGCATTTCGGCCATTGATACTTAAAAAATACGCTTAATTTTTTGTTCACGAGTTTTTTTTTTGGTAAGAAACTTTTTTAATAATACGCCTTCGGAGTAAAAAATTACTTACTATTTTTCGATTACAATTTGAGCATAGAGAATCAAATCCAGACAACACTTTTCCGCAGTGAGAAAAAGAAAATAGAACCAAGATCTGAGACAAGCACAACAAGAGTCTTCTCAGGCTCATGTCTCAGCCGTGCTCGCACCACGGGCTGTCGAATACCTAACAAGAATGGGAGAATCTTCATTGCCCTGAAAGAAACTCGCAGACCATGCTAAAAATAAAATAGCCAATAACGAATGAACGCGTAAAAGCATTGAGGTGCACAGGTACGTGTGGTATATAGGTGTGTGTAGGTACATAGGTACCTATGAAGGAAACACAGATGGGCACGTGACACTGTAAAAAAAGTGCTGAAACGCAATTTATTTCGCGAGACGTTGGTACATTCTATTTCCATCCTTCAAGATCCGTCTGTTTTTTCTGATCATAGGGTTGGAAAGAAACAAAAAGATGAAAAGGTGAGCCAAGCTTTCACGAAATTAATTGCGTTTCAGCACTTTTTTTTATAGTGTCAAACTTATCTTACCTGTCTAGAGGGGGAGCTTCAAGTGCATTGCATTTTGTAAAAAGAAACCAGGAGCATTGCAATGTTGCTAAGATTGTGCGGCTTCTTTTGTCTTGGGAAAACCTGATTATCTGTAAACTGTTTCTATTTTACTTGCTAAAAACTGTAAATTTAGGACAAAAATTCCCTCAGGTATAAATTCCATATTTTTCCAGGATTTCAATAGTTATATTGCAATGGATGAAGTTGCACAATCTTAGCAACATTGCAATGCTCCTGCTTCCTGTTTGCAAAATGCAATCCACTTGTGTTAGAAATTGTGTAATCCAAAGAGCCTCGATGGAAAACACTCTATTCAGTGATATCGATGATTAAAATGCGAAGCCACGTATCTCCATCTCGGCGTTTCAAAATGTCCACATTTATTATTTCGGAGAGAAACAGGCCAACTTAATGGTTTAGGATTTACACAGAATATGCTGCTAGCGGAGAAGAAAAATTAAGGAAGTTTTCGATAAATTGCGTTGACTAGTTTTCCAAAGAAAAAATAAAGTATGACAGGAAGTCTGCTACGTCGCAAACGGAGATACGCGGTTTCGCATTTTGACCATCGATATAATGCACAATGCTAGACGGTGTAAGTCCGCAACCACTTATCTCGTTTGCGGTGTTTGAAAATTTCAGCAAGGTACCTACTATTTTATTTTTTTCAAAAGAGAGCAAATCGCATTATTCCTTGAAGTTTTCGCAAGATTTTCTTCGCACAGAGAAGAAAAATCACGACAGTTATTGAGGATATCCGTTGAGTAGATCTCCATTACAAAAATAAAGTATGACAGGAAGTCTGCGACGTCATAAATCGAGAAACGTGGTTGCGGAATCACACCGTCGACATGCAATACATTATGCATGCGCATTGCATAATGTAATACTTATGACGAAGAAAACTGCAGAATGAACCACTGGACAAGGTACGAATTTCAGCATTTTGATACATGTTTTTCAACCAAAATTTTGCGTAAAACACAAAGCGCACAACGAAAATTATCGCAATCAACTCCTTACGAAGATATTTAATGATTCTTGATGAGTGAATTCAAACCACCCGTTCATGAAAACTCAATGCTCCACGTGATTCACATTTCGCGCTAAACGTTATCATGACAGTCTCTTACAATATAAAAATCTGGCAACCTCAATCTTGACGCTTTGGCTCAGCTATAGCAAATTGCTTATAGTTTGAACAACACATGGAGGGAAATGGACATTGCTCAATTGAGAGGCTTGCTGAAAATTTTGTAGTGCGCGATTTGACTCACGTAGAGCTTTGATTTCCTTGTGAGCGGGCAGTTCAAAATCCACGTAACCAATGTGAAATAAAAAGGTTAATATCTTCCTTACGAGTTGGTTTCAATAATTTTCGTGGCGCGAATTGTGTTTTATGTGAAATTCTGGTTAAGAAACATGTATCAGAATGCTTGAGTTCGTGCCTTGTCTGGTGGTCCATTACACTGTCGACATGCAATGCATTATGCATATGCAAATTGCATAATGTGATACTTATGACGAAGAATACTGCCCAACTCTCGAATTGAGAAACAGCGGCTATACTGGTTCAGCAACAAACTCGGAAATCCGATTATGATCGATGGAGGGCCGTTTTTTACTCCTGAAAACGGTCGTTAACGTCATAGTCTAGTTGATTGCAAAGGAATGACTTCGCACACATACTTTAATTGAGCTTACGTCATAACAATTCATTTTCCTTGTGCGTTACCTCTAATTTTGCATGTCACACCGAGAGATGGTGATTCGGAAGGGTTTCTGAACCCGCGCCAAATTGACAGCGAATGTTTGGGCAGCTTGAATGATTTTCACTATTTCGCCCTTTTTTCCAATGCTGACTCTAATACCAATTGTTAAGACAGCTAACAATCGCAGACCTGTGAGCCTGTGACAAAGAGCCTCCCAAAATTTCGCCCCGTTTTCGGTATTCGATTCGACCGTCGAACCAAGGTTTAAGTGGAGGCTTATAATAACAGAAAACTCAGACAAAAATTTCAAAATGAGTATAGAAACCGTTTTCGAGTTATGGGGGGGGGGGGCAAAGGGGTCAAACTCAACTCCGGCCTTATTTTGCGCTATTTTCTTGTTGAATTTATGTGTTTACGGGGTTGTTGTCGTTGTTTACATACGTCATACACACCGGTTCCTACGTATTTTTACACGCAAATCGAGTTTTAATGTTGACGAGTCGATATATCGATCGGTTATATCGATTTTTTAAGATTCTTTACGGAAAATCGACGATTTTTTGAGATTGAAATTGTTCATTTTTTATTCATGGATGACTAAATGCACCTAATATGACTGTAGTACACCGACACCTACGTATTTTGGCGCGTATACGTAGTATACCGCCTTTGCGATCGTTTCGAACCCTGCTCGATACAATAACCGAGTCCCTTAGTTCCTTACCGAAAAGTGACTACCGCGAACTTCTGAGATTTTCCAAAGCGTGTAAAAAGTTTATTTATCCATCAATAATTATGATTTAAAGTTGTTTCTCATTCTGGGGCTCATTAGTTTATGTGCAGTGAATACCAAGAGTCTACGTTACTTGGTTTTTTCAAAAAAAGCTTAAGAATGCGACGCGCTGATTTAAAATATGCATATATAAACAGAATCAAGCGAACTGATTCGAGGATGGCTGAGCAGGTCGGCACTCTGGAAATGAGAATTTAACTCCTCCGTTTTGTTCAAAACGTTGCTTTGACAGATCTGTAACCTCGGTTATACTTTTCAAAAGTTGGTACCCGTGTTCTGATAGTGCAATCTGTGTAAGTGCAATCTGTGATGAGCCTCGAGACTCATTAGACCATTAGCTAAACGTGGCTCATACAGGAATCCACTTACCCCTCTCTTTCCCACGCTCCTGCTCACTGCACACTGCGTCGGCGTCTCGACGAACTATAGCTAATGACGGTCGCCAAGCGAGGCCGGGATCCTCAGCCCCTCGCCCAATTACTTACGTTTCATTAACCATTTCACCGTCACGCTAGGATTCGTCCAATTTTCAAAAAAAATTGTTTCGCGAGTTTTTAGCAATTTTTTCCTTACTCTCCGTTAAAACACGAATTAAAAGAGGTCTCATTCATAAAAATCGGCCAAATAGAAGAGAAGTTACAGTATTCGAAATCCGAAGAAATCAACAAAACTTCTCCAAACAAAAAATAAAATGGAGGGGGGGGATGTATAAATTACAATTTAATATGATTGACCTTAGAATGTGACAAGCAATTCAATTATAAAAAGGAGAAAAAATTGAGTGAAATTACAAAAAATTAGCCTCTTGCAAGGGGCTTCCTCGTATGAGTTTTGACCTGAAGACAAGTAAATCCCGTTATATTTTTAAAACGAAATTGCCTCCATAGTTTAATGCCTTAGTTTCTTGAATACGATTATTTTAAGCACTCGAAAATTTATATCAGCAATTTTACCCATGAGGTAATTTCCTGAGAGCTGATAATATCACGAATTTCTCATAGAGCCCTTCAAAAATGGCTTGCTTTTTGGGCAGCCGATTCGGCCATCAAACCGGGGTTTAAATGGAGGCTGATAATAACACAAAGCTCTGAGAAAAATTTTGAGATGAGTATAGGAACGGTTTGTACATTACGAGGAGAGGCGGGCATGCTGTTCAGCATATCGATACATAAGTATTTTCACACGTAGAATTTAATTTTCACGTCAGGGAGTCGACATATTTTGATTTTTTCGATTTTATACGGAAAATTTATGGTTTTTCGGGATTGAAATTACTTACAATTGTTTCATGAAAAATGAATGCACTCAAAATGACTATAGCATTTTGACTTTCACATACCTACAAGCACTCACTAAATTGATTGGTAAATTCAAAGAGTGGGTACATCGACCTGGTATATCAAGTTTCTGCGATTTTTTACGGCAAATCGGTAGATTTTCGGGATGTGGATTGCTTACTTTCAATTCATGAATGAATAAAGCATATGGACATGGTTGAGCTTCTTTGCATGAAAAGACGTTTAAAATAACAAAATCAAGACATATTTAATACAATTGCATTCATATCGAGTCAATTTCTTTTCAATAATATAACGGGATTTATAATACCGGTGATTTGGGTATTTTAGCCCCAAAATACCTTTAAATCGACTTTATCTTCTAGGAATTCGACAGAATTTTTCCTTTCTTCGCTTAAATTTTTCCGTAGCACTTTTCTTCAAGAATCTGATAAGATTTTGCTTGAGGCGGATCAAAAAACTTAAATTTGTTCGAATAGCTCTCTAGATTCACAATACACGGTCTCGTCAAGGTGCGTCGTTGACCTAGCAATGTTGGATCGTGAATTCTCTTGTTTGTGCTGCTTGCCTTTTTTGAAATCTCTGTAAATGAAAACTAAAGGGGTTGATATGTGCGAGTTAATGACGCGCCTTATCAACACATTGTGTTGGAGTTCACTGCTTGTTTTCTTGTAGAATCGTTAACGAGTCGATATATCAATCGCTTATATCGAATTTTTGCGATTTTTTAGGAAAATCAATGATATATTGGTACTGAAATTGGTTATTCTCCATCCGAAAACAACCAAATTTTGGGTTGGAACATATTTCTGGTCGGGTCGATTTCCAGTTGAGTCAAGTTTTCGATTGGGGCACATTTCCGGTCGAGTAGAAATTAAGATTTTCGATTTCCGGTCAAGTGAAATTTCGGGTGGATAACGAATCCCGTTGATTGTGGTTTCCGGTCGGTCAGATTTCCGATCGAATCAAATTTTCAGTCGAGTCAAATTTCCGACAGGGACACGTTACCGGTTGGAAACAGTTTCCAGTTGAGTTAATTTCCGGTCACGTCATATAGGTACGGATGGATTACGGTTCCAGTGAAGTGGAATTTTGGGATGGGTCCGATTTCAGGTTGGATCAAATTTCCAGTTGGGTCAAGTTTTCGATTGGAGCACGTTTCCGGTCGAGCAGAGTTTACGGTTGTCGATTTCCGGTCAAGTAAAATTCGGCCGGACGATCGGTCGATTGATTTGAGTTTCCGGTGGGTAAGATCATCGGTTGAGTAAAGTTTATTGGTTAGCAGGGTTAGATCAGGTTTTCGGTTGAGTAGGATTTGTGGTAAATTTGAGTTTCCAGTTAATTTAAAGATTCAGTCAAGTGAATCAAAGTGTCCCGTTTAATTGAACGATCCCAATTTTTTAATTGACGATTTGCGTTGTCTAGGAAGATCATCGATTGTTGAATCCACTCCAAACCCGGGGGTCAGCCCCCTGAACCCTAAGGAGCCAAACCCGGGGGTCAGCCCCCTGGCAACTAAGGAGCCTAACCTGGGGGCCAGCCCCCTGGCAACTAGGTAGCCTAACCCGGGAGCCAGCCCCCTGGCCCCTAAGAAGCCAAAGCCGGGGGCCAGCCCCCTGGCAACTATGAGCCTAACCCGGGGGCCAGCCCCCTGGCCCTGAAGAAGCCAAAGCCGGGGGCTTTAAAAAAGCACGTATCACATTTCTGAAATTCGTACCCTGTTGTCTGAAGTGAAGGATTCGCCTTCAAACGGCAAGTTATGCAAAATGACCACCGTAACGCACGAATAGTGGTATCAGAATTTTGCTCTAAGTTTACGGTTTGTTTTGAAGGTGCTCTTTGGTATCCATTGTGCGTGGCCTTGTACAATGTTGTTGACCAAACAGTTCGTAATTTTGGTTATCAAATCGAGGTGCATATTTGAAAAATCCCGTGGAATATCATTTTGAAAAAATAATAAGATTGTTTTTTGTCCCTACGGCTTATTTCAAAGAAGAGAGCGCAGGCGGCTGGATCAGATTCTGTATTTTTATTGTATTATTTCGGTCATCGTATTCTGAGGCGAAACTGAAAGACTCGCCGTTTACAAGATCGCGTTTTACTCAATAGCGGTTGTGAATATAACATAACAATAGTATGAAAGAGGGTCCACTATAGCGTTAAGTTTTAGTTCATTTTTTACCGTGATTGAAAGCCACTTTGTGTAGGTACCGCATCGCGATATTTCAAAATCTCCGCATTACTTTACTTCATCAAAGAAGAACGAGCCAAAATTAGGTACTGCTCGAAATCTCTATTGAAAATTCTTCACGCAGAGAAGAAAAATGAGGGAGGTTTCCAGGAGATTATGTTGAGTATTTTTCCATTTGGAAAATAAATTATGACAACAGGAGGTCTGCAGCATCGCAACGTTTTGGCAGTTTCATCGTCGATACCCTAATAATAATTGGACGTATTTAACGGAACTATGTGCATTATGGCGTGAGCCCTGTTATGGCTCATGTCTGAATGCACATAGTTCCGTTTGATAGAAATCCAAATCCGTCCAATTACTTACGCGGTCAACGCCATGGATCTAGAGCGAAATACCCGCACACAATCACAAAAAAAAAGAAGAAAGAAAGAAAGAAGGAAAGAAAAAAACGCACGCTGAGTTTAAGTTAGCACGTTACTTTGAGGTCAGCTGCGTAGTAGCGGGTGTACAGAAACACGACGGTCACGTGACTCATGTGAGACATTGTCTCGCGCTTGCGAAATAGGCAGATAAGAGCCGCTCCGAGCAAGTTTCGGCAGTTTCGGCAGTTTCAGCAAGTTCAGACGCACATGCCAATTTCTTTCTCTTCGCCTGTGACGAGTCACACGACTTTTGTTGTGTTTTACAGGAGGTTCGTTTTTTCCTCTGAATTTCTAGTTTCAATACAGAGACCAAGAACAACCCTTGTATTACCTTTCGATTCGGTGTCACGCAGACAAGAAAATAAATAGGTGGTTTACATACTTCGTATAGATTTGTTATATTTTCGATCTTCTTGCACTTTATGCAAGTTTCGATCTATTTTGGAAACAGACCGACGAGTAACTTCTTTCTTTTCCCCTACCTTCCATAAAATGAGAGAAAATATTTAATCTTGATTGAAATTGAATGTACTGTGGCCTTTTTATAATTAAAATGTTTTCAATCATTTTAGGGTATCCGAAGCAGAAATGCACCGTTCATGAAGTCTCAGTTGATGTATGTCGTGGAGGTACGCAAGCAGACCCGTGTAAAGTCCGGAGAGGAGGCAAATTCACGGTGAATTTCTCGTACACACCAGGTAATGCATAAAATCATATTCCTGTATTTCGTCATCCTTGATCCTAATCTGACCGTAGGTGCGGCAGTCGGGGCCCAAGACCCGGTGACATTACCAAAAATTCGGATGAAAATAATATTTTACTCAAATTGATGAATAAAGGGGGAAAACTGAGGTCATTTTCGGAATCAGCGCTAAAAATCACGATGAAATCTACTATCACAGCCCTAATGAGTTTAATTTTTAAGCGCGCAGCTCTTCCAATCCAACTCGGGGGTACGTACGTGATGTGGTATCACGCGAAAAGGAAGGAAAATCTTAGCCTTTGCCGCCGTCTCCAAGCACTGGGGTAAATGAAAGACGGCATTATGCTCGCATCGTTAAATACGGAGATCAAGCATGACACTATTCGGACAGCGGACTGGTTATGTGATGTATCGCGCTGAAAAGAAGAAAAATCTCATCTTTTCATCAATTAAAAATTGACATTATATTCGCAGCGATACATACGAAAACCAAATGCGCAACTATTCAGACTCCTTGACAGAGCTCCGGGGAGAATTTCATGAGCCTGCACCGTCCGCAGCGCGCATCGTGCACGACCCGCCTTTCATTCTTACACTTCATCTGGCATTGAGAGTTCACTAATTACTTCACACGACCAGTGTGTAATTTTAAAAGTCAAAAATTAAAAAAAAAAAAATTACACGATACACGAGTTTCTCCACCAGGGAGCTCTCCCCGCAAAAAATCGGCCACTATCCGCCTGCCGGGAGAGCCGCGTCGCGGCGTGCTGCCAGCTCAAAACGCGCACTGACGCCTACAAACCTAAAGGGCTACTTCACGCATTGCGCAATGCTTGAAGTATCCCCTTAGGTTTGTAGGCATTAATGCGCGTTTCGAGCTGGCAGCACGCCGCGCCGCGCCGATTCGCAGCGTGCCATAAACATGCCCACAATTTCTAGGTCAGGGCGTTAAAATGTAGGCAATTTGACATCAAATTCGAAATTAGCGACTCCCAAAAACAGCAGTCACGAATCTTTCGTGATCTTTCAGTCATTATCGGACTTATTTCTTCCTATTCTTGAGTTTTGGACCATTGTGAGAAGCGGGCGGCGGCGCTCATGAAATTCTACCCTGTGCTCAATCGCGGTCTCCTGAGTAGGTTTGTGATGTTGTATCGCGGAAAAAAGAGGGAAAATTTTAGCTTTTTACAAGTCAAAAATTAATGAGGTTCATGAGTAAACGCATTATGCTCCCTGATCGCATCGCTAAATAGTCCAGGCGCCTGGTAAGTCTACCTGGAATTTTGGGTACACAGCGATTTTATTGGGTTACTTCATGTTTTTTGGGTCGCTGAATCCGAATCTGAAGTTTCCTACCGCGTATCTGGTGAGCATTTTCCGCCATTTTGAAAAAATGGTCTAAAAAGGCCTTTTTTGCGGTTTTTTTTATATAGCGGCTACGCATGAGAAAAAGTCCCCGGATTTAGTTAATGCTTTGAATAGCTGACAAAATTTGAAAGAAAATGGTATGTAAATATGCTAGGATTGCTCAAAAATTGAGGAACCTCGGATCTCGGAGCTTTGGAACGCTTCGGAACTTGGCTGACCGCGGCGAGCCGGATCGCGCGTTGCCGGGAGCGCCGCGAAAACGTGAATGGGCGCGATGTTCACGATGCTGTATCTTCCTCAATTTTTAAGCAAATGTAGCATATCGATGGTGAAACTAAAATACCACGTATCTCGTTTGCGGTGTTTAAAAATCTCCGCTCCCATTTTATTTCTTTTTGAAGAAAACAAACCAATATTATCCCTTGAAGTTTTCACAGATTTTTCCTCTCACAGAGAAGAAAAATCACGGAAATTTTCATGAGCTGACATTGAGAAGTTTTTCATCTGAAAAATAAAGTATGACAGGAAGTCTGTGACGTCGCAAACCGGGATACGTGGTTTAATAATTTCACCGTCGATATGTATACACCATTTTCTTCCAAATTATGTCAGCTATTCAAAACATTAACTAAATCCGGGACTTTCTCTCATGCGTAGCCGCTACATAAGTAAAACGCAAAAAAAGGCCTTTTAAGGCCATTTTTTCAAAATGGCGGAAAATGCTCACCAGATACGCGGTAGGAAACTTCAGATTCGGATTCAGCGACCCAAAAAACATATAGTAAGCCAAAAAAATCGCTGTGTACCCGAAATTTCAGGTAGCCTCATTTTTAGCTACCAGGCGCCTGGACTAAAAGTCAATGCTTCAATTAAACAGGGGAAAAAGAAGTCGGAGTATAGGAACCCTCGAACAAACAAAAGGAGAACCCCCAACCCCTGGGGCAAGGGAATTTTATAACCCTGGACGTAAATGAGCCCGAAGAGGTTATAAGACACCGAAACGTACTAAATGACAATTGCTGTTATTATCAGCTCGCTAGCAGCACATTCAAATAATGTATTTTGCCACACCTCGGAAAAATCACGGCAGATTTTAAAGTGTTCATGTTCTTTTACTCGTTCAAAATAGACAGTTGAAAAGTTGCAACGTCGCAAATTAAGGTATGGACGTTTTTTTATCTCACTTTTGGTGATGAGAAAATGTGTAACTGCGAAAGCGTCAGAGTGTAATATCAGTGGTAATCGTGATCTTTCGCCGTCAAGTCGAGGCGATACTCTTGAAGGCGCTCTGGGCAACTATACCACCTCGGAAGTATTGCACAGTATCGGACGGAATTGAAGGCGCACTAACGTATGTAAATTCACTGGCATCCGTAAAGTCCTATAGATCGTGTGATATGCGACTCCTGTTGGAAATGGAATAAAAAAAGAAATACATGAATAATTCAAAAAAACAAAGAAACAAAAAAAACAAACAGATTCATTTCATAACGGTTGAAGAGCGAGCCGATATCGAGGTATAAGTTAGCTGAGAGTACATCGATTTGAAACTGAACTTAAAAAGGATAGATACTTCTATCGCAAAGTCGGATAATTTCGAATGCACCAAGATAGTATTCTAGACCACATACGCCATCTGGGATTTTTAAATTTTAAAATTTTGTATGAAAATTCGACCAAACACACGGAAAAACATCCATTGCTGACAAGGCTCACAAAAAGGAATCAAACAGGTGCCGAGATAGCATCTTAGACCACATTCACTATCTTGAATTTTTGAATAATGAAAATCTGAGTTGAAATTCAGGTTTTCCGTCAAAAAATACCACGTGGTATTGAGTTTCAAAAAAATTGATCGATCAGGAGTCGCATATCGTACGATAAACGCTACCAGTCAAGTTGCCTACGTTAGTGCGCCTTCAATCTCGTCTGATACTGTGCAATACTTCCGAGGTGATAGAGTTGCTCAGAGCGCCTTCAAGAGTTTCGCCTCGACCTGATGGCAGAAGATCACGATTGCCGCCGTCAATACACTCCAGGACGTTTCTTGAAACTCGGTGCAAGGTGGCATTTTTGACGGAAACCTAGAATTCCAACTCAAATTTTCATAATTTAAAAATCCATTATACTGGATGCGGCCTAAAATGCTATCTCGGAGCCTGTTCGATTTATTTTTGTGAGACTTGGTGGCAGTGGATGTTTTTCACGTAGAGGTCGAATTTTCAGTCAAAGTTTTGAATTTTAAAACTCCAAGATGGCAGAAGTGGCTTGGAGTGCTATCTTGGCACCTTCAAAATTATCAAAAATTGGTAGGTATCTGTCTTAAAAAGGAATCGTCATCAAACATCTCGGAAAACAATTGAACTTTTGAATGACTGTCAAACAGTAAAAATATTTCATTCTCCATGAAGTATTTTAATGAAACGTCACTATGAGCTGTGAATTCTTAACAATTTCCAAAAATCGCCACACATTTTTTGGCTTAAAGTCATCAATTTTAGTCTAAAGTAATCATCGCAATTTTGAAATCGTCGCTTACTTTCTTACTCCCGGCGTTCAAGTCTCCAGAGATGTACATAATGACACTCGTTCTATGACACATAATTCTACCACACGCATAGGTGGGCATGCGTGAATCTATGCGAGTAACAAAGCTACCTTAACAAGTTGCATTGGTAATATAAATTAGTAACTTCGCAGATCAGCAGGCTGATTATTGATATCGATAAACTAAACGATAGACAAATGAGACATAGGGAAAAAAGAGCGATCCCATTGGTTGAAATGGGTGATTGTTGTAGACCAAGGGAGAAAAGGATGAACTGACTATACGATCCCTCGTGAATTGCCGTTGCCGAACAGGAGTCGCATATCGCACGATAAACGCCATCAGTCAATTTGCCTACGTTAGTGCGCCTTCAATCTCGTCTGATACTGTGCAATACTTCCGAGGTGATATAGTTGCTCAGAGCGCCTTCAAGAGTATCAACTTGACTTGACGGC